TCTTCCAGTCCCCTGTTTCCACCCCCGCTTCCCCCCACCCACAATGTGAGAGCAAAATGATATTTCTTCTCCACCTGTTCTGTGTCCCTGTCGCTCCTGCCACACCCATTAGGCTGACCGCAGAGTCTGCCATGAAAGCAGTGTGCCTCTCTCTGCTCCGCGACATCATGAACGTATCAGCGCCGCTGGCGCCCTCCCTGTTGGAGAATGTGGTAGAGGCAGAGAGTGGGTCGGAATCCCCCCCAACCAGGGCGTGGCATCTGTTAGGCCCCCCAGGGCCTGTTTCCTGCCTGGAGGGGCGCGCCTGGCCCGCCTGACTTTTCAGCTCTGGAATGAGGACATGCTCACTCCTCAGCCAGGGCAGAACCGGACGCTGGAATTGTAAACACCACCTTTCAGTCCTTTCCGAATCCTGGGCCTCGCCTGCGTCCCTGTAATCTTTCCTTTGAGGTGGCATCTCAGGGCCTCCCTTGACGATTGAACGAGAAAAATCCAGCCTTTGAACAACTTTGTTACTAAGTCTTAGTGAGTGGAAGTGAGAGTTTCCCCGAAACCTGACATTTGTGACAGATGAAGGAGGGGGTGGGGAGGGAGGATGAGAAGGAGGAAGAAGACGTTTAGAAACCAGGTTCCCGGGTCATTCGTTCTCCGGTTTTGGAATTGGCAGGATGAGGGCTCACTCACTGTCTTTGATTTCGTTAGTACTTTAGGGGACGGACTGAGAGGACAGCAAGGGTGTTTGCAGGTGAGAGCGGAGGAGGCAGCATGACGCAAGGCTGGGGAGAGGCCTAGGACAGGCTCGCTGTGGGGGACCCTGCAGCACCGGCAGATAGGAGAAGCTCAGGAGCCCTAGGCTGGCAGACAGTCCACTTGGGGGGTGAGGTAAGGCAGACCCTCCCGCCAGGCAGACAAGCCCTCGTGGGAGCTGCAGAACACAAAACCCCGAGCACGAGGCCCGGGAAGAGCCACAGCCGGCACTCAACAACCAGGAAAGCACAAAATACCAGAAGCTCCATCTGCCAGCACTCAGGCTGCCAGGGGGTTGTGGGGAGCAAAGGTCGCCAGGACCTGACCACCCCAAAGACTTCGGGAGCTGAGGCTCTGCCCCCCTCACAAGCTCCCGGGCTCCTTCCAGGTGGGATCCAGGTCCTCAGTGAGTGAGGAGGGATGGGAAAGCAGGCAAAGCATTGAGCTCAGAGTTTTCTGCGAAGAGAAACCAAAGCCGAGATATGAATCGAGGGGCCTTTGAAGACACAGGGGCTCTCCACAGCCATGCACCAGAACCAAATCCACACGGAACAGAGGAAGCAGGAGAGTTCAGGGCCGGTGATGACACACAGCTAAGGGCAAAACGGAATGTGGAAAATGTGAATAGCAACAGAGGAATGGGGTGAGCAGGGAAGGGGGTTGGGGAGACCACACAGCAAGGAGAGTTTCAGAGGACAGAAGGATGAGTTGTAGCATCCTGCCAATATTTCCCAAGCTATGCTTCATTCTCCCCATAGGGAGCAAATTCTGAGTTCTAGAAAATGCCACACAGTCAGCTGTCAGGGTGTATGTTTAGGAACACAGGTTCTGGAGTTGAACTATCTGAGCCCAAAAGCCAGCTAGACCTATGGTTGCTGTGTGACCATAGGCAAGTCGCTTAACCACTCTGTGCCCCAGTTTACTCAAACGTCAAAGGAGGAAAAGAAAGGACCCGTCTCATGTGGCAATTGTGAGACTTGAAAGGACAGCCTGGCACAAAGTGCGTGTCTGATAAACATTAGTTATTGTGATTTGTGTTGAAACAGAGGCCAGCCAGCCAGCATTTCTGGAATATACACACGGAGCTGGGCATGCTGCTCAGGGCCGAGGATGGGACGAGAAAGCACTTTTGAGCTAGGCCTCAGAAAGACGTGGAAAAGTCAAGAAGAGTCACACTTACTTTCCTTACGGTTCTAGGACCCAGACTAGTGGTTGCCTCTAAAAGGGGGTGTCCTTCACGAAGGAGGTTCCCAGAGGGATGGCCACATGGTGCAGTTTCATTGGGTAGTGGTTATAAGGGTGTATGTGCATTTGTCAGAAATCATCAAACAGAAGGCTTGAGAAATGCTTTGCATTTCATTATATGTAAGTTATTTATCAATATGTGAATAAAATTAGTTTATTGGAAGTAACTTTATTTAAAGATTTAATTTATATCTTTTTAGAGGGCAAGGAGGGGAGAAAGAAAGAGAGAAACATCAAGGTGTGGTTGCCTCTCTCGTGCCCCCTACTGGGGAACCTGGCCTGCAACCCAGGCATGTGCCCTGACTAGGCATCCAAGCAGCAACCCCTTGCTTTGCCACAGGCTGACACTCAATCCTCTGAGCTACACCAGCCAGGGCTCTGATGGAAGTATCTTTTAAAATGAGTTGTACAGGGAGGGCCGGGGCCTTCAGGGGGTTGTAGTTACAGGTAGCATGGCGCCTGTGTACCCTGCTGACTGCCGTGTTTGGCTGCATGTTCAGGTGTGAGGCAGAAGGACCTGAGGTCAGATGGTTAGAGCTTTATGTACCGTACATAGAATGTACATACTAGCAACAAGTATGTTCCTAGTGTCCCTGGGTACCACTGGCGGCGACTGCCCTGCCTTGGAGGCTAGGGGTCCACTGGACTAACTGGGTAGAGATCAACAGGTTTCCCACACTCCCACCCAGTCAGAACTCTGCCCCTGGGTGGTGGGGGGGGGGAGGAGGAAGGGAGGGAAGAGGCAAAGAAACCAGGGAGGAACAGCTTTCAAAGTGAGCTGCACCCAGAGCCCTGAGGGATGATCAGGGGGAAACAGTCATTTCCTACACCCAGGCTGAACTCAGTCAACTTCCCCTGCCCAGGAGGGGAGGACAGCCATAATTTTGTCACAGCCCAGCCAGGAAACAGCCCCCGGGGGCTGTCTACTTCTCTGGTCAGGAAGTGATTACTCCCTGGTCATCATCCAGCCACTTTTATATTTCCAAACCTCGCAAGCCTGATTGCCTTTGTGATTCAGGAATTCCTAAATCTTTCCGTGGACGCTGGCAGCAGAGATGCTGCTGCTTAGGTGTGAGCGGCCGCCATATCTGCCCCCGGGCTCCACCAACCAACCCCCTACCCCCCAGGGAGACTGGGCAGGGTTTGGCTGGGGCTCTTTGGAGGGCATTGTATTTCAATTAAGTTCTGCAGACCCTGGCTAAGCAGGGGATCTGCTTGGACACGTGAAGCCACCCAAGGTTTTCATTAGGGTCTCTTTGGCTCTAGCAATGCCTCCAGGACCACCTCACAGGCCTCCCTGCCGCCTCCCCACCCCCAACTCTGTGCCTTTTCCCTTTCCTTCCCTCACCAGCTTTCCTTGGCTTTCTCACTGAGCTTTCGCAGGGGGGGGGAAACTCTTCTCTTGGTTCTCTTTTTCCTGATACTTTATTCCCAGGCCTTGCTGAGCAATAGCAACTCCTAGATGCCCCCTTATGAAATAAAAACCTGAATTCTAACAGACGCAAAGCTCACTGCTTTTCCTTATTGTCTGGCGATCCCTGTGTTCAGTAAAACGGAGCACCCACATTTACTGAGTGCTGACCACGTGCTGGACTCTTACATGTTGTTGCCGGTGCTGTGGCATGCCCCCCAAACTCCCCCTTTGGGACCAAGGCCCTCATCCCCTACCCCCCAGAGGGTTGTCTGCTATAGGTTCACAGTGCAATCTTTCTCCAGGGGTTGCCCTAGCCAGAGGGAGAGTCACCTTGTTCAATATAGAGCCATTTCTTGGGGCATCTGCATCCCCAAGTGAAAGGTTGGGGTGGGGGTATTTGCCCCCGTGCTTCAATGGGGGACAGCTTCAAGGGGCTGTCCCGCTCCTGGCGTTCACCTCCTCCCTCTGCCCGGCGCAGCTTCCCTCATGCCCTCTCAGTTCCAAGAACTTCGCCCAGCACTTCTCTGCCTCAGAGGAATTGAATTTCCTGTTTCCTGGGAAACTGACTCCAAGAAGGAGCTTATTTACACCTCACAACCACCGGATGAAATATGTCTCATGTTCCCATCTTAGAGACGAGGGAAACGAGGCGCAGACAGGGTTAAGAAGTGTGCCCAGTGCCCAGGTGGAGGTTAAGGAACCAGGTTAAGGTTCCATCAGTCAATGGTAAGGCCATGCTTTGAAACCAGGATCTGGCTCTACTCCACACTGGCAACCTCCCAGGCAGCGTCTTCACAGCAATCCCGGAGGGAACTGCGGAGCGGGGAGGTGGGTGCTGTAGCGCCCCCTCCGTGGGGGGATGAGGAGAGAGGCAGGGAAATTCTCCCCTTTATCTCAGAGATTAGGACACTGAACTAGCAGAGCAGCTGCTTTTACCCAGGACCATCCGTGGGTTACAAAGATGGTGAGACTTTTTTTTTTCTGGGAGTAGAAACACACAGTAAATTCATACTCGAATTCTGGTGCAACACATACTGCGTAACTTGGAGCAAGTTGTTTAACCTAAGTCTTAGTACCAGCGCCTTAGCCCCGTGGCCATCGGGGCAGGAGCACGGGAAATTGCCAGGTATCAGTATAATCACGATGCTGTGCCGCCCGGGGTTGCATTTCAGGACCAAACAGGCTGAGGCCGCGATCGACCCCGTGTGTGCTTCCCAGACCCTCACCCCACTCCGCAAATCCTCCACTACCTTTGTGTTGGTTTCCAGCTTTTATTGTACAAGAGGCCAGCAGGGTATTTTTTTTTCCTGCTAAACTGGGTGTGTGCGTCTCCTCTTCGTGTGACTTCCCTGCCGCTTCTCCCTCCGCGTGCCGGCGTCTGCCGGGAGGAGGGCAGCCCCGTGTGCCCCCCAGTGTGAAGGTTGCACGCGGGTGGGGGAGCAGCCCTGGGCTGGACGACCAGCGGGTTCGGCTCCCGGGCCCCGCCTCTGCCGGGGCAGTGCTCAGTCCCGCTCTCGGATTGGTCGGCGGCCAGCAGTCGGCCCCGCCCCCTCCGAGGGAATAAAAGCCGCGGAATAGCGGGCTGCTAGCATGCAGCTGGATAAACTCAACCAGAGCAGACGAGTATCAGCCACTGAGTATCAGCTGCCGAGAACCAGCCTCCGCGGATCCTCTGCCTCCTCGCACTCCCGGTGCCGATTGGAGCCCGCCACGATTCTTCCCACGACGTGCTGCCCTGCACCCGCAGCCATGTGCCGGACCCTGTCCGCCTTCCCCACCACCTGCCTGGAGAGGTAAGGGGAGCTTGTCCAGCTGCCGGGAGGAAGTGGGGTGGCAGGTCTGGGGCCCCGGGTGGGCTGGATAATAGGATGCTAAAGATTGAAAGGAGAGGCCGAGGTCAGCTTGGCGCCACATGCTCGGATGCATCCCGTGGAGTCTCAGAGGAGCACCCGACCCAGGGAAGGGAGAGAGGAAAACAGGACTCATTCCCCGTCCTCTGGTAAAGGGCAGTCCTGGGTGACCTGCTGAAGACCACGTTGGCATCACCTGGACCACCTTCCCCAGTTTCTTAAGGACTTGGTTTTTATTCTACAGCCCAGATCTCCGGGCATGGCCTCCTCCAGCCTTAGGAAGGCAGGGGAGGTGTTTTCCAAGTCCGCAGGTTAGGAACGTGCCCACTTCCCAGGGAGCTACCCACCCGCCTCCAATCCTTGCTGGAACTGGTGGCTGGGAAGGAAAAGGTAAAGATAAGGAATCAGTTTTTACACAGTTCCAGAAATATTCATGGCTAGCCCTGAGGGTGAGAGCAGTGTGACTTTAGTGCCTGAAGTGCTGTAAACTCAGGAAGTGTAAGGCAGGCACGGCTCAGACATTGCTTTCATTGTTTGGGGGTTTCATGATACGAAGGAGAGAAGCAAAGTTCAGGCCCTGGGAAGAGCCAAGCATTTCCAGGAGCCCTTGAGGCTGGCATTGGGGTGGCAGCGGCCTGACCTCTCTTCTGAGACCCCAGAAAACCCCTGCCCTGGCTGAGCACATGGAGAATCCTTACATGTTCCTGCTTTGTCTTCCAGAGCCAAAGAGTTCAAGACACGTCTGGGGATCTTTCTCCACAAATCAGACCTGGGCTCTGATGCTGGGAGCGTCGGCAAGCTTGAGTGGAGCAGCAAACACAGCAAAGAGGGGTAAGTCCTGCCGACCAGCCTCGGGCCCCGAGAGGAGAAGGGGCCAGATGTGGGAGGAGCCGTGAGAAGGAAAATACAAGGAGAAACTAGGATATGATAGGGTGGACCTTGGTGACCCCTTGCTGGAGATTTCAGGGGGGCTTCTTGCTGGTCTGCTGTGGCTGCTTGGCTCATGGGCAACTGGGTGGGTGGCTCCAGGGATTTAACCCAGGGCTTGAATGACCTGGAGATGTCATCGCACATGCAGCCAGGGCCAGGACAGGGTCCAAGAGCACCTGAGGTTTGTCATCAATGACTCTACTTCCATAAGTGAGCACCTCGCCTAGAGGCCCTTGTGTACTGAACATCCACTGTGCCAGGTGCTGCGCTGGGCTCTGGGGCTCTGGGTCGACATAACCTTTATTCACATGGCCCTTATTTCCTTGGAGAAGTGTACAAAAACGATGCCTGGAGAGTCAGGGGGAAAGAAAGGATTTGGGACTGCGAAGAGACAGTCTTGGAGTTATTCACTGAAGGCCAGACGGGGCCTGGCTTTGCTTTCTGGTTACTGGCTTGTTCTCTGGGAAACAGCGCTGTCACCCTTAACCCCAAGCAAGGGTTTGAGGAGTCAGCTCCAATGATCCCGGGGCAAGACTTTGTGTGAATTGGGCAACTCCCGTTAGAGTTCTGGCTAGGATCTGTGCTGCACATTAATTTATTGATATTTTTTCTTTAAATTGAAATCGTATCCCTCCCTTTTATTTTACAGCAGAAACTTCTCAGAAGATGTGCTGGGATGGAGAGAGTCCTTTGACTTGCTGCTGAGCAGTAGAAGTGAGTAGGACCCTGTTATGTCTGCCTGTGGCCGGCACGTGTGTGCCCATGTGCTTGGGACCCAGCCTGAGGGAAGCTGAAGGCGTGGGCAAAATCACAGTAGTAGTAACAACAATAATAATAACGATCCCCTGGTGTGTCAGCCTCCATCCCCGATACAAAGGCCGACACTTGTTTGTGAAAATTACATCCTAAAAATAGAGCCACTGACTACAATTGCTGTCTTTTCTTCTGCGGGTCCCTGCCGTTCCTCAGCCTGACCAGTCCTTTCTCTCTCCCTCTAACCCAGATGGGGTGGCTGCCTTCCATGCCTTCCTGAAGACGGAGTTCAGCGAGGAGAACCTGGAGTTCTGGCTGGCCTGTGAGGAGTTCAAGAAGATCCGGTCGGCTACCAAGCTGGCCTCCCGGGCTCACCGGATCTTTGAGGAGTTCATCTGCAGCGAAGCCCCGAAAGAGGTCAGAGCTGGGACATGTCCCCTGGGTCTTCCAGATCCTGCCTGCTCCTTCCCCACTGAGAATCGGGGGGTGGGGGGCCTAGCAGGTGAAGGACTGAGTTTGGAAGTAGACTGGATTTGTTTGGCACCAGGGCGAATGGGCTGGAGCCTAGGAAAATCAGGCTTAGGGGCCATTGCCCTCAGACTCGCTGATGGGGTCGGAGGGGCTAGCTGGGGTTGGCTTCTGTCTGTACCCACTCTTGTAGACTAAGCCCTCTTTAGAGGCCCCCAAAACACTTACGCAACTCGGGGGAGAGGTCGTCTAGGGACCTTGTGCAACCTGCCTGTCTCCCCTGGCTGACCTGCCTCAGGTGGGCAGGTCTGTCTGCGGTCAGCGAGCCTGCCTCCTTCCCTCTGGCCTCCACTGCCAGGCACCTGCATTTGATAAAGAACATGGCGCCACCTAGTGGGCATATGGCAGTAATGCTTTGCTTTTGTGCCAAGGTTTCTATTTTATTTTCTGAGCATTTTTATTGATTCCACATTATTCCATGCAGATGTATTGAGCACCAAATCCATGCCAGGTCCTGTTATAGTCATTGGGAGCAGAGCAGTGAACAAAACAAAGCCCCTATAGCAGCTGGAGAAGTTGCTAGTAACCAATCAAACATTTGCTAGGGGGTGACCTACCCTCTGATAAACATAAAGCAGGGGACAGAGGGAGTCCCCACGGGTGGAGGGAAGGAGGTGAGGTCTTTCCATCTTATAAAGGGAAGTGAGAGATGAGCTGTCCGGTCAGCTGGCACACGAACAGGGACTGAAAGAGTCATGGGAGGAAAGAACGTCCTAACACAGGAAAGGGCAAGTGCAAAGGCCAGAGAGCATTGTCGTCATCACGTACCAGCAGCAAGAGGACCTGTGGGAACGGGGAGACTGGGGCAGAGAGTGGGGAATGAGGTCAGGCAGGTGGCAGATGGCCAGGGGTGGATCCAGGTAGCCGTGTGGGCCCGGCACACACGTTGGCTTTTGCTCCGAGAGCCATGGGAAGACGAGAGCTGCTAGCAGACTGACTTGGGGTTTGAAGGGTCCAGTCTGGCTGCTCAGTGGAGAGCAGACCACAGGGGCGAGGGGAGCAGGGGGAGACCCGTTAGCAGGTGCCCTGGCACTAATCTGGGAGCAAGGCGGTGGTGACTAGAGCCAGGGAGGTTACAGACGGAGGGGTGAAAAGAGGTTGCATTTGTGGACAGTCTTAATATAACCTTGAGAATTCTGAGAAGTTAGAGGGCAGGCACTGGATCAGATGTGGGGAGAGGCCCAGCGTGAAAGCCAGTTAATAAGGGACTCAGGAGACTCCTGGTTCCTGGCTCAGAATCCAGGGCTCCTTCCACTGCCCTGTCTGCCAGTCCTTTCTGCCTCCATCTGCTGGGCCCCTCATCACGCTCTCCACCCCCCCTCACCACACCCTCCATCAGCTCCACCCCCACTCACCTGTGTGCTTGCTCTCCTTCCCACAGGTGAACATAGACCACGAGACCAGGGAACTGACCAGGACGAACCTGCAGGCTGCCACGGCCACGTGCTTCGATGTGGCTCAGGGGAAGACACGCACCCTGATGGAGAAAGACTCCTATCCACGCTTCCTGAAGTCAACCGCTTACCTGGACCTGGCTGCCCAAGCCTCGGCCACCAACACCTCTCCGTCCGGCTGCAGCCCTGCAGAGCCCTTACACACCTGAGCCTCGTGGCGGTGAGGAGCCAGCCAGGGAGAGAGGTTCAGCCACCCAGCCCTGAGGCAGCTGCCCCTGTGTGGGAGGCAGGTTCTGCAAAGCAAGCAAGAGGACAGCGAAGGAAAAAGCTGTTTTGTTTTGGAAGCAACAGCCTCTCCTCCAGCTACTGTGGGACTGAATTTTATGCGCGAGAGGGTACCCCCCAGCCAACTCCCAGGACTTGTGTATAAGGGCCGGAGATCGCGGTTGCGTGGTGCTCTCTGGGGAAAAGAACGGTGGAGCAAGAGTTGTCATTGGCTCCTGTCCTTCCCCACAGGGCAAGAAATGGCCCAGGTGGTTTGGGAAACGTGTGAATGGAGGGAAACTGGGAAAACGAGAGGGAAGACAACCAGGTCAGCTGTTCTTCCTGTTGAACAGCTGACTGATCACATCCTGTTTTCCCGACTCCCAGACTGTCCTGGGCACAGGAGGGAGCCCCAGATGTGGATTCTTCCCATTCTCTCTCTCCACCTCCCCTGCCCCTGGGCTGCCCAAGGGCACCTTAGCCTGTACTTCTTAACACTCCTGTGTCCAGCCTCACAGTCTTTTCAGGCCCAGGGAGCTGATGCGATGCTTGCCCCAAGTGAGATTTTCATACCTCAAAAACTGGCCTCTGAGTCCCTTTCCAAGTCAGTAGAGAGCCCCGAGGAGAAGCCATTTTGCTCACGTGAAATTAATCCTGGTGCTCTCGGTGACCTTGTCGGTGGCCCCTGACCCTGTGTTTGCGGCAGCGTCCACCTGTGAGCAGGGCAGGGTGAGGGCCCCTTGCCGGGATGTGCCCCCTCTTGGCTCGGTTCCACCCCTGAATGTGGAGCCCCCGAGGAACAAGGGGTGGGACCTCTCGGTGAGGGGCTGGTCAGCTCTCATGCCCGGTGGCGTGCAGGGAGGGAGCAAAGGATCCTAAGAAACATATCTCTTGACAGTTTCTGAAAGTCCTGTTTAAATCAAGCCATTTTTTTGTGTGTGAGTATGAGAACGGGGAAAAGAGGCACCCTAGGATGGAAGGGGGGCCTTGTGCTTCCTTCCAGTGGACATGAGGTGCGCTTACCGGAACACTGGGGGACACGGGGCAGGGGCCATGGCGACCCTTGGACAGACCACAGAAGCTGGGAGCAGAGCTGCGGAGAGGGGCTTCTTGGACGATCAGGACTCGGAGAAGTCAGAACCTGCCTGTCACCTCAGGGCATCACTGGACACACATTCCGAGGTGGCCCCTGCGCGGAGCCCGGGCTGGGGAGGTGCATGAGCCAGGCAGCCCCTCGCGCCCCAGGAAAACCGACCCTGTTCTCGCTGCACTGGGAGCTCCTCCAGGAGAAAATTATTTAAGTTATAACGTTATATTGTTGGTTTTGTGACCATTGTCAGAGCATATTATTTTTTGTTACTGTTGGTGTTGTTGCTATTGTTATTTATTATTGTAATTTCCGTTTGCCTCAACCTGAGACTCTCAGCAGGAGCCGGCAGCCCCGTCTCCCTCTCTCCACCAGGCTCTACCTCTGAACGTGCTGGGGACCTCTCAGCGCCCGTCGGGAACTCCTCACTGTTTAAATATTTATTTATTGCGGACAACTGGAGCTGGTTTCCGAGAAGCGAATGATGTGTGCATCCCCCGTTTTTCCTGTTTCAGCATGTTACATTCTTGTCAAATAAAAATAGAACCTAAATCGGTGCTCCTGTGTCAAGGGCTGTGTGTCCCCTGGGGACACGGGAAAGGGCAGTGCCGTGGGGGTCTTGGGGGGGGGGGACCGGCCTCCGGAAGTCCCACGGGACGGATGGGCGAACTTCCCCGTCACAGGTGGAGGCACGAGTGACGAAAGACCCCTGCTGGGCTGGGCACTGGAGGAACTGAAAGAGAGGGGCGAGGTCTAAAGGTGGCCGCTGTGATGAGTGACTTCCTTCAGCTGATGACAGACCCAGCTCGTGTCGGGCTGTTGTGTAACACCGATGGGGCTCGGCTCAGCCTCCTGTGGTTTCAGAGCCCACGTCGTTTGTCCGCCGGGCGGAGTCACAGCACAGCTGTCACTGGTTTTGCGGGAAACAGCTCAGGGGGCCGTTCCCGTGGTCGGGCAGCCAGGCATTATTGCCACGGGGCGGTCGCTGTGGCGTTTTCACTTTAGCCCGCTTTCCATTTGCAAGAGTATGTTGTAATTTCATGGCCATTCGAGGGAGTCTTCTTCGATACTTTCATACAAGTCTCTGGGATGGGCTGGGAGGCCCCTCGGTCCGTGAGACTGCGCTGTTCCGTGGGCGGAGGGAACCAGAGGGGTGAGCAGGGCCCGAAACCCCTGGGGGGAGGTTTGCAGGGATCCAAACCCGTTCTCCTTTCTCTTCCTACTCATCTTCTAAAGGTTTTCTCATTACTACTATTTAAAAAACAAACCTTCCCTATGTTGGATTATCTGTTTCCATACAGATCTGGACCTTATATTGACTTTTATTTGTGAATACAAATTAACAAAATGTTAATTTTTGTTAACAATTGTTAACCCTATTGTTAGTCTGCGGAAAGTGACCGGACGTCAGGTACATTGGGTAGAAAACCCCAGGAACCACACGCTCCGCCCAGTTCTAAGGGGCTGCTGATTCTGGGGGCGGCGCCTGAGGGGTTCTGAGATTAAGGGCGGGGGAAGGAGGACGGGAACAAACGCGGCAGGCCCCTGACCCCCGGAACCCCTGCAGCAGCTCCGCGAGATGAAGTGTGGTGGCCTGGAGCGCAGACCAGGGAACAGGGCTCCTGGAGGCAGGAAGCCGGCCCAGCGCAGTGGCCGGCCGCAGAGCGAGAGCAGAGCGTGTGACAGCGCGGGTGGAACTGGGGGCACTCGTGCTCCGTGAAACAGGTCAGCGAGAGGAAAGCAAGTACAGTGCAGTTTTACTTACATGTGGAAGCTACAAAACAAAGAAAAAGTCCAACAAATTAGACAAAACAAAATCAGACTGATGATTGCCAGGGGAGAGGGGGGCTGGCTGGGGGCAGGCGAAATGGGTGAAGATCAAGAGGCACAAACTTCTAGCTATAAGATAAACAAGTCGTGGAGAAATAATGCACAGCGTAGGGGATATATATACACAATAATATTGTATCAACTTTGTATGGTGATGGACAGTAGATAGACTTATCGTAGTGATCATTTTGTAATGTCTATAAATATCAGATCACTATGGTGTACACCTGAAACTACAATAATATTGTATGTCAATTATGCCTCAATTAAAAAAGTTAGTAAGTGGCAGAGAGGAGATCTGAACCCAGGCATATGGTGGGGCGCATCACATCTGTGAGAGGTGGGTAGAGGGAAGAGGAAAGAAGGGGACCCAGGGAGGCAGGGAGGTAGTGACACTGTCCTCTTCTCATTACTTTTCTCCATAGCTTTGCCTTTTTACATGCGTTTATTCAGTGCCTCCTGTGCGCCTGGCAGGGAACCAGGAACACAATCACGCCATCAGCTGCAAACAGCCTTGTTAAATGGCGGGGAAGATTCTGAATGAGTTTAGACAAGGGCACACATGTGTGTTTTCTGAAGCAATACGGGCGCCAGTGCGAAAAGGGGTGTCGTCAGGGAGTGATGGAGAAGTGGGCAGGGATGACGGACATCCAATGACTGGGGCGGCAGCTGGCTGGCATCTCCATTCAGCAAGACCATCTCAAGGCTTGTTCCCATCCCTCCAGCCCTCCCTCTCAATACCGGGTGGTCCCGGAGTCCATGGTGTGGCCTAAACGCGGTAGGGATGTGCTACAGACAGAAGAAGAACGATTCTTTGCCGACCCACACATCTCCCTGTCTTGGGCTCACACCAGCCCCGTACTGTATTGAGTCTCCGAGAGGTTAAGTGGCTTCCTGAAGAGCACACAGCTAGCAAAGGTCTCTAAATAATCTTTGGACTCACTGGCTCCATCTTCCCCTGGAGCACTACCAGCTTTGGCTTAGCGGGTACAGCGCTTCCTGAGCAGGCTGCTGATGGCCTCTCAGGCCTGGTCTCTTGTTATCCCGCTCACCTGCCCCTTGGAAGAATAACCACAATTCCCAGATAGATTCACCTACTATTTTATCCTTTCTTGCTTTTACATGCTGGGCCACCTCCCTGCTGTGTCCTTTACTGTTATCATTGCTGGCCGCCCCCTCCTTAATCAGCCTAGGGATGTGTCTTGCAAAAGTGGCTCAAGGGCCTCCCTGGGGACCCTCCCCTGGGCTCTTGCTGATGCACTGTGTATGGCTGTCCTTGCTATTGCACTGTGGCCAATGCTCACGAATAAGAGCACTTAGCTCCTTGCTTTCTGCCTCTCTTTACCAGATGTCGAACTCTTGGGATTATGCACATCCTCCTCTCCAATTTTCTACTCCCAGGGCCTGGCATCTATGTGTTTAGCCAATAGCTCTTGAGTTAATGATTAGTTATACATCCAGCAGGAGAAAAGTTTAGATTACCATCTTTAACTTCCTTCTAGACTTCTCTCCCTGGGTGTCCCACAGGCCTTTCTTAAGACAACACATTCAAAACCAAGGTCATCTCATTCCCCTCGGACACCTAGTGCCTTCTGCTTCCTTAACGCTGATACACAGAGACGCCGCTTCATCCCCGGGCCCACCGAAACTGACCTGGAGGAGTCCTTCAGCCTCTCCAATCAGGGCTATAGAAACTGCTTCCCACCTGCTCTCCCTCTCCTAACCTCTCCCCCTCCAGCTCACGTTCTATGCTGCACGGATCTGAGCATATCCTGGCTGAATAAAAGCCTTCCTGTGGCTCACCTCTGACTACAAGAGAAAAGCCAGATCTTACCACGACATGTGAGGCTCACTTTGGTTGACCTAAGTCCCTCTTCTAATTCATGTCCCGCCCAGATGGACTTCAAATGACCTCTCCTCCTCCGCTTCCTCCTTCTTCTTCTTCTTCTTCTTCTTCTGCTTCTATATTAGGGGTTGGGTAGTGGGGCAGGGAGTACCCTCCTTAAAATTCCTCCTCCAAATCCACCCTGAACACCACCTTCTCAGTGAGGCCTTCTTGGACGTCCATGACACAGAGTTAAAGGCTGTCATTTCCGTGACTCTAGGACATGCTGTTCTTATTGATGGCCACACCTATGGTGTGGCACTGTCATTGATCTCATCATAGCTCTTTTACTTCCATTAAACTCATCTCTTTGAGGCCAGTAGTCATATTATTCACTTTGATAAGATGGGGCAGAGCAGGTCACCGCAAAGAGGTCCACAGCCGGGCCTATGGAGTCAGAAGCTTGGGTTGGAATCGTGGCTCATTCGCTGGATGACCTTGGGGAGCTGAGCCTCTCCAAGGCTTAGTTTCCTGTCTGTGCGATGGTACAAAGAGCGCCCCTCGACAGGGACCACTGGGTGGAATAAAAGTGTTGGCACGATGTTGATGTCCCAGGAATACTTGCTATTGTTGTTGTTATTAATAATAATAATAATTATTATCCATCATCTAATTCCAAGTACAGAGTAGGCATAAGTAAATAACTACGGATTGACTTTTTAAATAAAGTGGATGAATTCAAAGCCAGGATGCCAAGTCTACTCGTCTTTCAAGTACAGGACGGCTGTGTCAACACAGCGATGCATTTCCAGAATTCCAGATGAGGAGACTGGAATTGAATCCTTAATCAAGACAGTGTTACTCAAACACAGGTCAGCGAGTGCTGTTTTCAAATCCCACAGCTGCTCCCCCCCCCCCCGCCCCGCGCCCCCATTGCCCATCCCTCACCCTCTGCTGCCTCCCTGTGGGCACCTCAGGCTCTGCTAGCTTTGTCCTCAGCATGGCTTGGCTTTCATCATAGTTTAAGTCTGGCTCCTCCCTTTGGAATTATATCCAAGAGATACATTTTGTAGTTTCATTTATTAATTCATTTTAATAAAACAATTATTAGTATAACTACTGCTAAGATAGCCCAGTGGGTATAAGGGTTATAATATGTTTTCTTTAGTCAACAGGGTTAAAAGTAACTTTAAGAATTGAAGTTCTTGGTCTAGATGCGGAGAAAAGGGAGCCCCCATGCACTGTGGGTGGGATTGTAAATTCGCACAGACACCATGGAGAAGGATATGGAGATGCCTCAAAAAATTTAGAACAGAACTACTATGTGATCCGGCAATCCCACTTCCGGTGATGTAGCCAAAGCAAGCGAGAACACTAGAGAAATCTCTGCATTCCGGTTCACAGCAGCATTATTCACAGCAGTCAAGACACAGAAACAACCTAAGCGTCCAACGATGAACGAATGGTTAAGGAAGTTGTGGTTTGTATATACAATGGACCATTATTTAGCCATAAAAGGAAGGAAATTCTAACCTGTTGTGACAACATGGGTGGACCTTTAGGGCATCGTGCTAAGTGAAGTAAGGCAGACACAGAAAGATAAATACTATATGCTCTCACTTACATGTGTAATCTAATTAGAAAAACAAACTCCCACCCCTCCCCAAACTCATAGACAAAGAAGTCATATTTGTGGTTACCAGAGGCAAGGTACGGGGGAGAGGCGATTGGAGCAGGGTGGTCAGAGGTACACACTCCTAGTTATGAGATAAGTCATTGCTAGGAACGTGAGGCATCGCATGATAACCACAGTGAGCACTGCGGCGTGACATGCAGAACGCCGGCAAGAGCGCAGGCCCTAAGCGTTCTCCTCACAAGAACATTTTTTCTTCTCTTG